TATATATATATATATATATATATATATAGCAATGGGTGTATACCAAAATGTCAGGCAGCCTAGATCTCCTTGTGATCATGTGTTTAATAATGGCCTTTAAAGCTCCCAGGCTGTTTGGTTTGTGTGTTAGAGATCATCGGCTGGTAAAGTGCCATGCGGTTTAAGCATGTCCTGGTCACCTCTTTCTGGTTATCCTGCGGTCGGCTCACAAGCACCAGATGGTGGCCTGCATGTCTGAGGGGGTGGGGATGTAAATCTGTCTCTTTTTCTCTCGCTTTTCCTATCTCTTAACTGAGGTATTTGGTGTCATTAGACTGAATTAACCTTTAAAAAGTCTCCTGTCATGATTCATTATTTGACTTTTAAATCACAAAATGTGGATATGATTTACATGTGGATGTTTTTTTTTTGCGTGTTTGTGGGGGTACTTGGCATATGAATAATATGCCCTCTTTTGATGTTAATGCTTCAGTATACTCTGTTGGTTTCACTGACTAAGCCTTAGAGATTTGACTGTGAATCATCTCATTATGGTCCTATATATTCAGTGTGTATATTTAACATAACATAGCCTATACATACATAGTCCTTTGAGATATTATCATATTAGATTTAATATGTCAGTGACAACAGCAAGTATATATAGTAATATTGTCAAGGTTTGGGGTCGGTAAGATTTGTTAATGTTATTGACTTTGAAGAAGTGCCTTATGCTCACCAAGGCTACATTTATTTGTTTAAAAATGCAGTAAAAACAGTAATATTGTGAAATATTATTACAATTTAAAATAACCATTTTGTATTTTAATATATTTTAGAAACACTTTTAAAAACAGTTGTGCTGATTATGATTATTTTTATTGATTATTAACTCAAGGATTATTAAGGATTATTTTATGAATAGACAGCTCGAAACAAACAGCATTTATTAAAAAATAGACATCTGTTTATAACATTATAAATATTTGTCACTTTTGATTGAATTAGTGTGTTCTTGCTGAATAAGTATTAATTTCTTTTTTTTTTTTTTATCTTAATGACCTCATACTTATAAATATCGTCTAATATCAAAAATATCTTAACTTTATTTTATTAAAAAAGAGTTATGAGTGATGCACAATATATCAATACTTTATCAGTAATCATTAAATTCTCGGATGATACAGAATAGATATTGGTCAATATTGGGTATTTACTTGTTGCTTATTTTTTCTGTATTTACATTTAGATTACTTTTGTCATGGTCTAACAGTCACTCAAAGTCAACCTTTAGAAACACTAATAATTTAAATTAATATTCATTTGTTATACTGTTATAATGTGATGCTTACATTTATTTGTAGCATTTAAAATGACTGATTTTAGTTTTTGCTGTTTTACTTTTACTTTATTTAAAAAATATAGTACACAATTTTTTGTCTACCATTTATTGGTTATTGGCTATTATATTTTGGTGCAAAATATTGGTGCATCCCTAGGCTAATTAGTTTGTCTTTTGGGCTGTTTAAATAAACCAATGAGATCTTGAACCAGCACTTAACACTCATTTAACCAATTTCAGAAAAGTTACAGCTTTGAATCCTGAGTAATTCATGGGTTAAATGTTAACTTGAATGCACTATAAATCTCTTTGGGGAAAAAAAGGCCAACCGAATAAATAAATGTGAAGGAGAAAACGTCATTGTTTTCACTGCTCTTAGCATTTTCATCCAAATCGGCTTGTGTGGCAGCACATCAAATAGCTGTGGACTTAAGTTCTTGGTTTATTCCCATGCCTTAGGGCAATCATGGTATATTTTCTTAATATTTCCTGATCCGCATCTAGTTTTCAGCTTTATTTATCACACAAACATGATATTGCAAATGACACAAGAAAAAATGTCCACGCAGTGATTGAAGATCAGGGAGCTTAATAAGGTTTATGCAATGAAATCTGTTCTGATAGTGATGGTTTCACTGTCCTTCTGCTCTCCTCTCATAGCTGCACCAGACATCACGGGGCACAAGCGCAGCGAGAATAAGAATGAGGGTGAGAGAGCTGTCCTCTACTGCAAATCTGTGGGTTATCCTTATCCCATGTGGACCTGGCGTAAACTTGATAACGGCATCAGTATGGTATGGTCATTTTGACAAATGAGTGAATCTTAAATCTTCTGTTTGGTTGTTTTAAAGGGACAGTTCGACCTCTTAGCCTCAAGTTGTTTTAACCCTGTAAAGCACATTAAATAAAAGTCCTAAAATCCTATTTTTTATGGCTCATATAGTATGATATAGTGAGTGCTCGTACTTGAAAAAAAAATAAAAAATAAAAAAATTTTATTCAGATGCCCAAACTAAGCAAAAAAAATATGCAATTTTGGTGCTGATATTTATATGGTCAAAAAGTATGATGAAATTCTGATGGCTTGTAATGTAAATCAATGAGGTTTTATCAGTTTAAAAGACTACTTACATAAAATATCATAGAAATATCAGTTGTCACTCTATATCTCCCAATAAAATGTCTTAGTAAGATTATATTTGAATGTTTAGCTCTGTAGTTTTTATTGTGGAGGACAAAACATATAATGCAATGCAATACAGTGATGATTGAGAGACGAACAAAGAAATGTTCCTCAAAAGCCCGATGATCATATTTAACATGATTTTTCTAAAAAAAAATGATGTATGGATAATCAAGTAAACCTAAGTTACTTTATGTCCAGTAAGTGTTCCTCTTGAAATATTAATAACAATATATCATTTATTCTTACATTTACTTTATAAAACAAAAAGGCATTTTTACAGTTACACTAAAAGGTCTTTAACACTCTCCCTTGTAGTTTCTGTTACTTGAGCTACCTTCAAATATTTATAATTTAATAAAAAGTAAATATTTTTTAATAAGAAATACTATTTGAGCGTATAATCAGTGGCTTTCCTTCCCTGTCTTTCACCTCTCCTTATCTCACCGGTTTTCCTCCCACTCCATCAATCACCCAGGATATTGACAACTCCTCTGGCCGCTTCTTCATCAGCAGCAAGGATGGCTACACCGAGCTGTCCATCATCAACCTAGACATAACCTCCGACCCCGGGGAGTACGAGTGCAACGCCACCAACATCATCGGCTCCAACTCCATGCCATCAGTTCTGCGTGTCAGGAGCCGCCTGGCCCCCCTGTGGCCCCTGCTGGGGGTCCTCGCCGAGATCATCATCCTGGTGCTGATCATCGTCATCTACGAGAAGCGCAAGAAGCCTGATGATGTTCCTGACGGTGAGTTTAAAAGGGTGGGTTACAATCTGTGGGTTATCCTTATCCCATGTGGACCTGGCGTAAACTTGATAACGGCATCAGTATGGTATGGTCATTTTGACAAATGAGTGAATCTTAAATCTTCTGTTTGGTTGTTTTAAAGGGACAGTTCGACCTCTTAGCCTCAAGTTGTTTTAACCCTGTAAAGCACATTAAATAAAAGTCCTAAAATCCTATTTTTTATGGCTCATATAGTATGATATAGTGAGTGCTCGTACTTGAAAAAAAAATAAAAAATAAAAAAATTTTATTCAGATGCCCAAACTAAGCAAAAAAAATATGCAATTTTGGTGCTGATATTTATATGGCCAAAAAGTATGATGAAATTCTGATGGCTTGTAATGTAAATCAATGAGGTTTTATCAGTTTAAAAGACTACTTACATAAAATATCATAGAAATATCAGTTGTCACTCTATATCTCCCAATAAAATGTCTTAGTAAGATTATATTTGAATGTTTAGCTCTGTAGTTTTTATTGTGGAGGACAAAACATATAATGCAATGCAATACAGTGATGATTGAGAGACGAACAAAGAAATGTTCCTCAAAAGCCCGATGATCATATTTAACATGATTTTTCTAAAAAAAAATGATGTATGGATAATCAAGTAAACCTAAGTTACTTTATGTCCAGTAAGTGTTCCTCTTGAAATATTAATAACAATATATCATTTATTCTTACATTTACTTTATAAAACAAAAAGGCATTTTTACAGTTACACTAAAAGTTCTTTAACACTCTCCCTTGTAGTTTCTGTTACTTGAGCTACCTTCAAACATTTATAATTTAATAAAAAGTAAATATTTTTTAATAAGAAATACTATTTGAGCGTATAATCAGTGGCTTTCCTTCCCTGTCTTTCACCTCTCCTTATCTGTCACCGGTTTTCCTCCCACTCCATCAATCACCCAGGATATTGACAACTCCTCTGGCCGCTTCTTCATCAGCAGCAAGGATGGCTACACCGAGATGTCCATCATCAGCCTAGACATCACCTCCGACCCTGGAGAGTACGAGTGCAACGCTACTAACATGATCGGCTCCAACTCCATGCCATCAGTTCTGCGTGTCAGGAGCCGCTTGGCCCCCCTGTGGCCCCTGCTGGGGGTCCTCGCCGAGATCACCATCCTGGTGCTGATCATCGTCATCTACGAGAAGCGCAAGAAGCCTGATGATGTTCCTGACGGTGAGTTTAAAAGGGTGGGTTACTGTCTCAATATGGACTACTGCTGTTAGGCTGATATTTATTTTATAAAAGTGGAGAAGAGATTTATTTAGTCCAAGACCATCCTAAGCATAGTTTGTCTGATATAATACACCTACAATGGGCACAAAAGACACACAGAAACGTATGAATGCATTTTCTTTCTAGGAATTACACTTTAAAATAGGGCTGCACGATTATGACAAAAATCATTGAAATTATAATTGCGATTTACATTGAATGATGTTTTGAATAGCTTTATACCATTGTTTGAAGCAACTGCATGCCATATTTTTATATGAAAATAAACAAACTGAAAACACTCTTCCTGAAAAAAATTTATTGTTTTTCTAAATATTAAGCCTCAAATGTCAACTATACATTTATTTGGGTTCTTCTTTCAATAAGAATTTAAAAAAAGTAAAAATATGCATGGTATTATAATGTTATACTAAAATCAAAACAATGGAAAAACCCTTAAGATAACCTGTAGCAAGCAAAACACACACACACGTGTATATATATATATTTTATTTTTATTTTTTTTTGCGCCTTTGGACGATTACGTAATTGTGGCATCCGTAATTGTAATCACGATTAGAAATTTGATTAATTGTGCAGCCCTACTTTAAATAGATATTGACTAAGAAACATTTTCACATTTTGGTATTATCTCAAGTTTAAAAAAGGGATGCCACTGACGATAAACTTACTGTTCAGTTTGGCATCAGTAAGATTTACTTATTTATTTATTTTAAGGATTAATTAACTTTCTGTTCATTAAAGAATACTAAAAACAAAAGGTGTTTTCAACATTCATAATAAAAAATTTTCTTGAGCAGCAAATCAGCATATTAGAATGATTTCTGAAGGATCATGTGACACTGAAGACTGGAGTAATGATGCCAGCCCAGGAATAAATTACATTTTAAAACATATTACAATAGAAAACGGTAATTTTAAATTGTAATATTTCACAATATTACTGTTTTACTGTATTTTTAAATGCAGCTTCGGTGAGCAGAAAAGACTAAAGGATAATAATTGTCTTCCTATACATCTTACACAGTTCTTACTTAAGTTTTCTCCCACTGCGTCACGAACCTTTGACTCAAGTTTATTGGAAAACCATACACTCTGTTATTTGATCCTGACCTGGTCTCTTACTTAATAATTCAGTCTGAGGCCATCCTGACCAAACACACACACACTCATTGCTCTTTTCCTGTAGGGCACCTGCGTTAGGTCATCTGGACTCTAATCTGATATTCGAGAGAAATATGACTCTGCAGTGTATGGGTAGGCAGTGGGCAGTGAATTATTGATGTGCGTGGAGGTGCAGTCCCACGCCACTTACAGCTCACCTACACTGCATTGCGAGGGAAAACGAGACTCAGTCAGTCCAGCACAATGTATTCCTGCATGCCAATAAATACACTTTAGCCCTGACTTTATATAAAACGAACTCTTTAGGTTTGAAGACTGTTTAAAGCAATGAAGATCGCGTTGGGATTCAATTATTTTTGCTATTTCTTACATTTCATTATTACCAATCGATATTTCTACCAGAACTGGTTTAGCACATCACAAACTGTGAACGTCTTCTTGAGCTACACAGCGACGTTCAATGGGATGTTGTCTGTCCAGCATCGCCACCTAGTGGTTTTCCTCGGTATTTATTTCATCCTCATAGACAGAAACGACGAATTTATGCGTTTTGTTTGATTAAAATGTGTAAAAATACAATGTTAGGTATATAAATTCAGTTACAGCTTCGTTTGTGCTACACATTTTGTGCAGGCGTTTATAGTTAATTGTGAATCACTGCACCATTATTTTAGCATTAAATTACTGGTTATTGGTTAATTAAGTCATTAAGAATTAACAACGTTAACACGTTTCTTTCTCTCTGAATGGCACAACCTAAAACACTGGTAAGTGAAAGGCCTGCATGCAGCTTGATTGAACCTACCTTTATTGCCCATAACCACTGTTCTGCTGTACTTTAGTGTGTATATAAGTTTTGTTTGATTTAGGCTAGAAAGGGTTTTTATTTTGCCTTCATTATTGGAATGCTGTCTGTTTTTTGCTGTTTAACCTTCAAATGACCTTCATTTCTGTACATTTTCTTCACTTGAGTCCGTTCAAATGCAATCATGTTGGCATGAGCATGAGGTTTTTCCTTCTATTTCTTTTCTCCTTTCAATTTGGATTGTTTAAAAAAGCTAAAAATGTGTGTGCAGATATATATATATATATATATATATGTATATGTATGTATAATCTTATGTGTAAAAGTCATGTAATATTAAACATATAGGATCATAGGATGGTTACATGGGTAGTTTTTCACTCCATGGGCTGCATGGTTGTATTTCTTATTAGTTCTAGTACTGTTATATAGTGCGAGCCTTTTAATTACTCACACCAAAACGGATGGAGCGAAGTCTTTGTTCTGTGTTATTGTACTGTGCAACAATATCCTAAATATTGAAAGACAATATGGCATTGAGTTGTTTTTAGCTTCTCAATGCAGTCAGTTTGCGGCATTCATTCAATAATGTGAATATTGTGCCAACTGGAGCCATTACAGCCTCAAACTAAAATTGTTGTTGTTTTGCTTCCCATTCTTCCTAAGATGACGAACCAGCTGGGCCAATGTAAGTATCAGATTTACATTTTAATTAAGACTTAATATGATGCAACTGTCCTAGATAACTGATGCCAGTGGATGTGTAATTTCTACAGAATGTATAGAGTATAAAGAAACAGTAAATAAAGGAAATGTAATTAAATACGAGCGAGTGTAAAATGCTGGATTTGTATTTCGGATTGTGACACTCATTCTGACTCATTTTTATGATCTCACCTTCAAGGAAAACGAATTCCACCAACAACCACAAAGATAAAAACCTACGTCAGAGAAATACAAATTGATTTCATCATTACAAGGTGAGTATTCAGTTACACTGAGAATATTCATATCAGTTGAACACAAAACAAGATTGTAAACAGTGCTTATAGTAGCAAAGAAAACTAAGCCACAATTAAAAATGTAGAAATTACCAGAACGGGTGTAAATGAACAGAATATCATATTTTGTTTTATAATTTCATTGCAATGACTTATGCATTTGGAGTGTAAAAAAACCTGTATATATGATAATGAACTACTGAGACTACATTCTTTTTTTCATTTGCGCTCATATCAAATGAGAGAGTACCGTTTATGGTGATTGGAGACACATGAAAGTAGCACCAGTTTATGCAAGTTTTTTTTTCACAGAATGTGTTTTTTGCATTCTTGATTTCTATGGAAACATGCTGATGGACACTCGTGTCTCATGCACGCAGCATTCTAAAAACGCTACGTTCAAGATAAAAAAAGTTTAACTTTTTAAAACAAATCCTGAGACTGCCCTGCATCTCGCGTTTTTCTTTGTGAACCTGGCTGATAAGCTGACTGATATACAGAGATGCCATGGACGATGATGAATATTAGGAAATATCTGTTTGCAGAATGCCGCGACTGACCCAGTCAGAATCAAGTATTCCAGAATGCCGTGTAATGAATATCAAAGAAGCAATGCTAATTTGTATAAATTAGCACATTTCTCAATCGGTTACTCTTCTGAAACCGCAAAAGCCACATTATTAACCCACTTTTGTCACCACTGTTTGTTGTTTACAGATAAAGACATTCACATCATGACCATATGAATGTTAATCATGAACGGTTCAGTGCACTGGTAAACAAATCAAAGGTGGGGGAGTTAAATAGAAGACCGGAAGAAATGAGCACCCGAGGCTTGCCTTATAAATCTGGTGTGAGGAGGACGAGTGAACAGAACGGAACCGGATTCTGAACATTTTCTTGCATGATTGTGTTGCGTTTTCAACTTTTTCCATGTCGGGCAAAAGTACACAAATAATAATTGCATGCAAGATAATTACTGTTTGATACAGGCTTTTTTGTTTGTGTATTTATGAATGACTTCTGTTCAAGCAAGCCTTTAACTTATCGCAAATATGCCACCATGATTCTGGTATGACAGTTTTTGTACAGATTATCATATTACTGTATACCATTTGGGCATACGAATCTATCAATCAATTAAGGGCTTTGCAAAATGTCCTGCCATGTTTAATTTGTACATGCATTGTACATTGATGTATGAAATCACTTGAAATATCTATAGTTATCTGAATGTTCTTCATACTGATGCACTTATCTCTTCAAATATTCTTGCAAACCAGTGACTTAATTTTATACTTATGTACCTTATCTGTCTCTAAGTCTACACGGCTGATTGCTTTTTATGTATGCATAGTGTACAGCATGGCTTTTATTCTATGCAATATCTATACATACAGTAGAACAACCCTTTTTTTAATGTAAGCTTTTGGTTGTGTATAATTAAGCTTTAATATTATATGTTAGCAGAGTGCACTGTTCAAACCATGAAAATCAATCCACATGGTTTAAAACATCACTGCATGAGCTCCTTACACATATAAAGGGTCTACTACGTCAGAATGTGAAGAGAAATAATATTATCTCCATTGACCAAGGCATATACATGTCATTTTTAACAATTAAAATATCCTAAATCAACTGTGTTGTCCTTTTTATAACATGACGCGTTATTTTATTTTAACAGTTCAGCCTAAATTTGATGAAAATGTACTCCGGCCATCCAAGATGTATTTGAGTTTGTTTCTTCATTGGAACAGATTTGATGAAATTTAGCATTACATCACTTGCTCACCAATGGATCCTCTGCAGTGGATGGGTGCCGTCAGAATGAGAGTCCAAACAGCTGATGAAAACTTAACAATAATCCACAAGTAATTCACCAATTCTCAGCTTTTTTGCTTCACAAGACATTAATTTATGGACTGGAGTCGTGTGGATTATTGTGATGTTTTTATCAGCTGTTTGGACTCTCATTCTGACGGCACCCATTCACTGCAGAGGATCCATTGGCGAGCAAGCGATGTAATGCTAAATTTCTCCAAATCTGTTCCAATGAAGAAACACACTCGTCTATCTTGGATGGCCTGAGGGTGAGTAAAAATTGCAGCATATTTTCATTTTTGCGTGAAATACTACTTTAATATGAGTTTCATATTACTTTAATATGAGTAATAAATTTAATTATCGGTAATTAATCAGTGTGCATATGCAAACAAAATCATAAACTAGCAAAGAAGGACACTTGCAAAACATTACAAGCTAAAATTATTCAAGCCTTTATTCTGCTTCAGTATCAACATCTTTGTGTGGGTGTTTATGTATTAAAGGTTAAAAAATCATCCTAGCATAGGGTTGGCACTGTTACGCTTGCAATCCTAAAAGAAATATGTCTGTGCACCAGAGGGGGGCATTGCTGACCAAGGCTGAATCTTCAGACCCTCTAAACACTTAACGTCTCTGGACCTTTATTTCCACTCCCCCCACCCTCTAAGTTTTCATTTATAGACATTGCACCAAAAATTAGCTGTGCAATGGTCTTTGGATGTGCTATTTCCATAAGTATTATCATCTACTCTCATTATTATACTGTTCAGTTTAAACCATATGTCTGTGGTGTAAATATGCATTGTATTGCATTAATGTGTTTTATATAGCACATTACTACAAAATAGGGCATTGATGTGTTCTGCCAGAAAGATTTGAGAGGCATTTTAAGATGAAGCTCATTAATATGACCTGCACACTATAAATCCATACAAATATTATAAGGTGAAATTAGCTGACTGAGTTACAATGGTATTCAGACAGCAGGTTACCATACAACAGAATGAAAGATGATATTTTCATACACACAAAAATCAAATCCACACAGAATAATCTCAGAGTCGTTTCTCCACCATAGCCATAGGGACGGATGATTCCTGGAAAGGCAGTGTTTGTCACAATGCATTTTCTGCTCAAAAGGCAGAAAGTTCTTTGCCCAGGCACTTACAGATTATAGTGCCATTGTTCTCTCAATATCTAGTTTCATCAGATCACTTGGTACCCTGACTTCACCATCTGACATGTTATGTTGTATGCGGACCGCACAGTAAAAACCATGATATTAGATAAAGCACAGTTGTTTTAAAACAAGGCTGTGTGTTATATATATATATATATTTTTTTTTTTTTTTTTTTTTCACATTGGTTGTCATAGTAATGTGTGGATAATGTGTGAAGATTCAGGGCATTGTGAGTTCCACAAATCTGAACGCATTATTTGTAAACTGACAGTTAAGATGTAAAATTTACACCATTTATCATCTGTAATAACACTGTGTTGCCACTAGAGGCCTGTAAAGCCCTATATAAAATAAATACAAACAGGTTTGTGCAATACCTAGTTGCTAAGAAATTGTCATCACACATAAATTAATTTGATTTGGATACATGTTTAGATATTATCAATGGCTACTTTTTGTCTTTATCTGTTTTTGTTTAGTTGTTTTGTTTGTTGTTGTTTAAAACGTTGATTTAAAGTGTCAGTTTTTACATTATTATTATTATTATATATAAAACCCTTTAGTACCCCAAACTACATGTAAACATATAAACCCTTAGTACCCCAAACTACATATAAAAGCTTGATCAGTCACATAAAAGTAATCAGAATGCAGCTACTTATTCATCTTTCTGAAAAGGCCATCATAGCTGTTGTCCCCACTAGACCTCTTCATTAGCATAACTAGCAACGCTATCTTGCTCAACCAGCTTCACTAACTACTGGTTCGCAGCTAGACCAACACCAAACCTGAACAGCATTTTAGCAATGAGGATGGATGTCTGTCAGCCATACAGCCTCTGGTCTAACCTAATATTTCCTCATCGCGTCTCTTCTTCAGAAAACTCCACCAAACTGCCTGAAGATGAATAATAGTCAAAATTATCCCCAAATTCTGGCGTCCCAGATAACAGTCAACTACCTTTAAAAACAATTTTTTTTAATTGACATTAAAAGTTAATTTTATTATTTTATTGTGTTGTGTGAATAATCCACAATAAAGTGACTTGTTTTGCCGCTTTACGTCCGATACTGATGCTAAACAGCGTTCCAGCGGCGAACTGTTGCCATGGTTACGTTCTCCAGCGAACGCGATTTCAACTTTTGTGATTACAGAAGCGTTTGAAAACGCTGTTAAACTGTATTAATCATTACGTACAACGAATAGCCTACATACTTGTATTTCTTATGACTTCCTCGCACCCTGCAAGTCTGATCCTGTCAAGCCAACTGATAAACAATACCCAGCTGTTAGCACGGAACAATACCGAATTCTTTTCCATAAGGCATCATGACGTAATAGACTGAATGACGTAAAAACGCCATTCAGGAATGTTTATGTTATTATTGGGCGAAAATACACATCAACAAATCATTTGATGAAGACAGGCATGTCATGTAAGGTTTATTTATTTGTTTGCTACACCCCTAACAGTCGGTTTAGGTGGTGTGTGCTTATTTGCTGTCTGCGCTTCTATGGCAACGTAATAGATTATCCGTCCCCACGCATGTTACCACAACTGAACTGGACATCTTTTGCACATTGGATTACTGATGTGTCAGTGGCCGGGGGCTTCGCAAGTGCTGTTTAAAGAGTAGTTTGAAAAGGAGGGTGTAATGATTTGTCATTGAGACGCGCGTCAAATTGTTTCTCATTCAGACACGTCCGTCCGTCTTCCCGCATCCAGTGTGCGCGCTCGGTGTCTAGTATTACAGATGCAGCGGGATGCATATTTGTGCATTCATATTTTTGACGACCTATTTTCCAGCCTGCGTCTCCTCTCAGATGACACCGACTGTCATTTGTTCTGTTAAGGTGGTCGATCACAATGGATAAGGTGCATTCTTCCATGCGCAAACGGCTCTATAGCTTGCCACATCAGTTTGGACACAAGGGTGCTATGACTCGAGACGGCGAAGACAGCGACAAGGGCACTCGGAGGAAAAGTGTCAAGATGAAGCATCTTCCCTCACCCTCCTCCACGGGGAGCTCTAAAGGTGTCAGCGAGGCCAAGAGCGGAGACGCGGAGACCGATGTGGGGAGACCCTTCAGAACCAACGTGAACGGCGACTGCCGGAGGTTCAGAGGCAGCCTCTCTTCCATCACCAGTAGGCATGCTCCAGACACGGATCTGGCGGAGCAGAGGTGCCTCATCGGGGATGATGGTCCCTTGGAGCAACCCGGACCTGGAGAGAGCCAGGGCGCGCAGGGCGGTCGCGGCGACGGGGCACAACAGGCGCCCTCTGAAGAACAGTCGACTTTCGTAAAGTTGGAAGGTATCGATCAAATCATGCCGGACGATGAGCGGTTGTATCAGGCGGGCTTTATGCACAGGCAGTTTGGCGCGATGCTTCAACCGGGGGTCAACAAGTTCTCGCTTCGAATGTTCGGGAGCGAGAAGGCGGTGGAGCGCGAGCAGGAACGGGTCAAATCTGCAGGCTTTTGGATCATTCACCCATACAGTGACTTCAGGTAATCCCATGTCTAATTATCCGCTATGCAAATATTCCCACTTCCATCAGGCCTCCAGCAAGGAGCTCTCCAAAACGAAATAATTCTGTGCTTTGCTCACATGTCTGAGCAGATTAAATACAGCCCATTTGTCTTTTCATAGTTTTGTTTTAAAAACGTCTTGCTCTGTCCTTGAGCTTGCCGAGGATATTAAAATCAGGCCCAGTCTGTTGCATTCACTAACCTCACCTGCTCATATTCACCTTTTTCCTGTTTGAATGACATTGATGCCATCCACATATTGCAAGGGCAAACAGTGTCACCAACGCCACCTGTCTAGGAGTTTCTGTGATTGTTTTGCATTCATTGCGTGAAACTTTCACTGCACCAGTAAGGGAAGTCAACTGTAATCTCTAGCTTTACTGCATAGAAATAAGTCAGGCAATCATATTTAGCAGTTATTCTCAGGCAAAGCTGCTGTTTACACTCAAACAGAGCTGTCCATTTCTGCACAGGCCGGGAAATAGGGTGATCAAAATGGGTTAACATGACGAACGG